CCCTGACAAATATTTGCTCAACCTGCTCCATCCTCCAAAGATGGGCTCCCTTGGAAGCCTATTCCAGAGCTTAAATATCCTTGTGGCTAGAAAGTTTTTCCTAATATCTAACCTAAATCTCCCTTGCTGCAGATTAAGCCCATTACTTTTTGTCCTACCTCCAGCAGACATAGAGGATAGCTGATTACAGTCCTCTTTATAACACATTTGAAGACCACCAGGTCCCCCCTCAATCTTATTTTCTCAAGATTAAACATGCCCAGGTTTTTTTTTAACCTTTCCTCACAGGTTTTCTAACCCTTTTGTCATTTTTGTTGCTGTCCTCTGGACTCTCTCCAATTTGTCCACATCTCTCCTAAAGTGCGGCACCCAGAACTGGACACAGTATCCAGCTGAGGCCTCTCCAGAACCGAGTAGAGCAGGACAATTACCTCCCATGTCTTACATACAACACTCCTGGTAATACACCCCTGAATGATATTAGCCTTTTTTCCAACTGCATCACACTGTTGACTCACATTCAGTTTGTGATTCCCTATAATCCCCAGATCCTTTTCAGCAGCACTCCACCTTGCCAGCTATTCCCCATTTTACAGTTGCGCATTTGATTTTTCCTTCCTAAGTGTTATACTTTGCACTTGTCTTCACTGAATTTCATCTTGTTGATTTCAGACCAATTCTCCAATTTGTCAAGGTTATTTTGAATTCTAATCCTGCCCTCCAATGTGCTTGCAACCCTTCCCCACTTGGTATCATCTGTAAATTTTATAAGCACACTCTCCACTCCATTATCCAAGTCATTAATGAAAATATTGACTAGTACTGGACCTGCAGGACCTCATTAGATACGTCCTCCCAGTGTGACAGTGAACCATTGATAACTACTTTTTGAGTACGATCTTTCAACCAATTGTGCACCCACCCAACTTGTAATGATTTCAGCCAACGTTACTTGTTTTAAAATTCCACGTCACAATGTGTCTTTAAGATATTTATTTTGAGCAGAAAACAGCAAAACTTACTAGCTTCTTTGGAAGTTTATTGTCATTTTCTACAGCGTCTCTGATGGGACTTAGAGCTGAGGAAAAAGCTTCAAACCCTGATTCCGGAGTCAAGTCGAATAAGAAGGGCACAGAGGCAGAGACAGCGTCTCGGAAGAACCTCACTTTGTCAATGTCCATGTCATTTTCTCCTGCAGAAATGGACGCCAGCTCCACAAATGTAGGAAGTTCCATTTTGTCTGCAAGAAAAAAAAATCCAACAATGAGTGTGAAACAAGTAATCTAAGAATGCTCAAGAATCTACAAATAGTTTCAATCAAAAGCTGCAATGTCTTTGCCCTCCAACGCTGAAAAATCCCTGTTGTTGCTCCGTTTGGATATGCCAATTAAATCAAATGAATAAAATCTCAAATCTAGGAGTGGTCAGAAATTTTCCATCAAAACTTTTTTTAAAAATAAAAATTGTTTTTTGACTAAAAAAATTTTTTGAAGAAAGTCTCTGTTTTCCTCAGAATTTTTAAATTTTTGATTGGAAAACCAGAAACTTGGAACAATGATTTTTTTTCCCATTTTTTAGATTTTTGGCAGTTTTCAACCACACGTTTTTGGTTGCCAAAAGTCAAGATTTTTTCCAGGTTTTGAAGCTGATTTTTTTTCCCCTGGAGGAAAAAACCCAACACTTTTCAAACATCTCTGCTCATTTCCACCAATAGTAAAAGTATCAGGGGGTAGCCGTGTTAGTCTATATCCACAAAAACAACGAGGAGTCCGGTGGCACTTGATGAGGAGATGTCAATACCAAGAGAGGGAAAATTGCTTTTGTAGTGAGTCCCTATTTAACCCCAAATTAATGGTGTTAAGTTTGCAAATGAATTGCAGCTCTGCAGTTTCTCTTTGAAGTCTGTTTCTGAAGGTTTTTTGTTGAAGGATGGCTACTTTTAAATCTGTTACTGAGTGTCCAGGGAGACTGAAGTGTTCACCTACTGGTTTTTGTATGTTACCATTCCTGAGGTCTGATTTGTGTCCATTTATTCTTTTATGTAGAGACTGTTCGGTTTGGCCAATGTACATGGCAGAGGGGCATTGCTGGCACATGATGGCATATATCACATTATTGGTATTGACATCTCCTCATCAACTATTGGGAGTGGGCCACATCCACCCGGACTGAATTGGCCTTGTCAACACTGGTTCTCCACTGGTTCTCCCTTCTTTTCATGTGCCAGTATATTTATGTCTGTATCTGTAACTTCCACTCCATGCATCTGACAAAGGGGGTTTTTTGCCCACGAAAGCTTATGCCTAAATAAATCTGTTAGTCTTTAAGGTGCCACTGGACTCCTTGTTGTTTTTTTTTACCAACAGTACAGGCACCTTCTCTGGCAGCTCACCTCTTAATGTGCTCAGAAAGTGCAACATTACAAGTGCAACGTGTAACTTCTTTCCTACTGACCTTACAAAGCGCTCTGCTACTGGACACCTTATGACATATGTGGGAGAAAAACATTTTGCTCCATTTCATAATTCCCTACCCCAAACCAATGCCTGTCCAAATGATCTTCACTACACATATATATGTCCAGCAACAACCCCCGTGGCAGAAAGTTCCACAGTCTCATTATTAGTTTCCTTTGCTAAAAAAAGATGGAAATTGCTGCAGAAAGATCTTGATTTTTTTCTAGCTACAGTCTCAGAACTTATGTGAGAACAGAACTCCAGAATTATCTTTAACATAATCTGATCTTCAGAAAGACAATGAAGGACCAATTATAAAATATTGCTGAAAATTTCCCTAACTGTTATAATTCAAACACGTGAAAACTCACCATATGCATTACAATAACAAACCTATCTCCGACCCTCTATGAACTTATGAACTCAAGCAAGTAAGGGCTACACCATTGGCCCTAATTCTTACTTAGCTTATAAATACTGGTCTAAAGTGCACCTTTTATGACGGTTGTGATCCAAGAGATAAAGTCTTTCTTTGCACACTCAAGAAATTCCTTCAAGAAGTCAAGCACAATCTCAGGGATGTTACTCAGAGTATCTTTAACCTTTACAATGTCATGAGTTATATAACCAAGAGTCTTGTCCTTGAAGTCCTCGTCTTCCTGTTAAAATACAGAATAAAGAACTGTTTTTCTTAGCAAAGAAATGAGACAAGCATTCATTTTAATTAACTTATTGTTTATGTTGCACTAGGAGCTGCACAAACCCAGAGAAAAAAAACTGTCCTTGCCCCCCAAAACTTTGTTAACGCAGAGTTAAGGTTGCTCAGTGATGCCTTGCGCCCTTCTAGAATGTGGAGAATGACCAAACTTAAACCTCTGAAACATAAACCTCTGAAAACAAGGAAATCCAAAATTAAAGTACATGCCACTCCCACTATGCAACCTTAGCTCTGCTCCCTAATGCTGGCAACAGTTAATAATATAATCCTGTGGGAGTCTATAAAAGTCTGCTCAGCCATTCACTATTGTGGATTTTTAGGACTGATCTACACACAAACATGCATTGGTTTAACTAACTCAGGTTCTTAGAACTGATTTAGTAATTTTGGTGGAAGTCTGTTTGTTGGACACTCTCATTTTGGAATAAAAGTGGTTGAAGTTGAGTTAGCTAAAGTCACTTTTGACTTGGCCCACTCTTATCCAAGAAAAGAACTGTTCACCAAATTAACTGAACTGGTTCTAATTCACACCCTTTGTTATTAATGTGACTAAAATTATTGTAAAAATGCCTTAGGCACCGAACCCCAAAGAGGGTTCCCAGGTCAGCTGTGAATCCCTGACAGAGATAAGTGCCTCCCTGCAGCCCTGACGTAGGCACCTATCTCCAAGAGAGGGGCAGAGCCTGCACATACCCCTGTTGTAGGCATCTCCCACTGGCTAGCTTAGATAGCTCCCCATTCGTAGGCACCTCTCTCTCTCCACTCATTGTACACCTCTCTCCATTCCATTGCACTGCATTTAGCCATATGGAATGGAAATCCATCAACCTCATGAAAAAACTCGTACAGATACAGACAGACATCATCTTCAAACTGTCTGTACTGGGCTAGCTTGATTATCACTTCAAAAGTTTTTTTTTTTTTTTTTTTTTTTTTTTAA